CCGAGTTCGATCCCCAGTACCAATAAATAAATAAATAAATAAATATATATATATATATATATATATATATATATATGCAGCCCAGGTTGGCCTTGAATTTTCGATCCTCCTGCCTCAGCCTCCCACTGGAATTACAGACATCTTCTACCATGCCTGGCCATAAAAAATCTTAACGATAAATGAATCAAAGGCAGATTTGAATTTTTTTTTGTTGTTTTTTTTGTTTTTGAAGACAGGCTCTCACTATGTAGTTCAGGCCAGCCTTGAATTCACTATGATCCTACTGTCTCAGCCTTTTTTTTTTTTTTTTCAAAAAGACACATTTATTCAATGTTATGATCAGATTATTACATTTAGCAATCAACCGCATGGGAGCAAATAAAAGGTCTACATTAAAGCCTTTGTTGGAATGCTTTACACTTTCCACAGAACAGAAACTAAAATAACCTGTTATACAGTCAGTCACACATACAGTTCTCGAGTTTTTTGGCCCATACACATGAGTATTGTCTAAAACATGTCTTCTTTGCAGCAGCTAGGCCCTGCCACCCCTGTGCTTGGCTGAGTTCACAAGTCTGTTGTAACCTGTAGCTTCCCTGTCACTTCTCTGGCTCTCCTCTCCTGCTAACTTTGTTTCCTGGCAGTATTAAAACTTTCTGCCACCGCCATAGCTACTGGTGCTGCTGGAACTGCCACAGCCACCTTGATTTCATGGTCTGGCAAATATTGGCCTCCTCCACCACAGGGCCCAGAGCTTCTGCCTCCAAAGTTGCCTCCCTTCATCGGTCAAAACTTTGAAGATTGATTATTCTAATTGCCAAAATCATTGTAGCCTTTAGCACCTCTAAAAGTGCTTCCATCATTTCCAAATCCATTGTAGCCACCCCCACTGCCACCATAGCCACCTCTACCACGGCTGCCACCAAAGCCACCTTGACCACTGGCTTCCTCTACAACCGAAACTGTCACTGCCACCAAAACCACCTCCACAGCCACCACCAAAATTTCCAGAACCACTTTGACCTCCTTGGCTAGATGAAGCCCTGGCCATCTCCTGTTTTGACAGGGCTTTCCTCACGTCAGTTGTGGCCATTCACAGTATGGGATTTCAGAATGACAGTGTTCTCCACTGAATCATGGTCATCAAAGTTTATAAAAGCAAAGCCCCTCATCTTCCCACTGCCTCAGACAGTCATGATTTCAATCACTTCAATTTTTCTACACTGTTCAAAATAATCTCGGAGGTGATGTTCTTCAGTATCTTCTTTATTTTTTAGGGTTTTTTTGTTTTTTTGGGTATCGGGGATCGAACTCAGGACCTTGTGTGAAGATGTGCTTGTCATTCTTAATAAACAACTAGAGTAAGAATACATAAGAGCAACAGAGTGGTATCTTTATATGATACACAAGTGTATGTTACAAGAATTCCATCAGGCACAGGAGCCTCAGGTTTAAGGTCTCAATGTTAGGCCAAAAAAAAAAAAAGGCATGGTAAAGTTTTTAACATCTAAAATGTCACTCGTCATAAAGGAGGGTGTGATAGAAATTGTCTTTAATAAATCATCATTGAATTTCCCCTCACTTTTCTTCCATTAGACGCTAGGTTTATGTCTGAACATGAAGAAAACATGGTTCCTCTGTGGTCAGTGATGTGAACCAGTCCAGAGTGGAAGCCAGCTGGGGAGACTCCCTGGGGGTTGGTCCATCATTAGTTCCACCGTGAGGAAGGCAAGGGGCCACATTTCTATCAGTCCAAGCCCTTTCCTGGGGCCCAGAGCTAAATCCCCGGCCCCCTTTCAGTATCTTCTTTATGCCACCAATAAAGATCTTCCTCACAGTAAAGTGGGCACCCAGTCTTTGAGAATCTCTCTCGAGACAGCTCTGTTGATTCCACAACTCTTCCATCTACTTTGTGTGGCCTTGTGTTCATGGCGGCATCCACCTCTTCCAGTGGTGAAGTGACAAACCCTGAGCCCCTGGAGTGCTTGATGTTTGGGTCTCTCGTCGCCACACAGTCTGTGAGCATTCCCCACTGCCCACAATGGCTTCTCAGACCCTCATCTGTCGTTTCAAAGCTCAGCCCTCCAATGAAGAGCTTCTGAAGCTGTTCGGGCCCTGAGGAGACTCAGCCATGATGGCAGTCAGAAGAGAGACTAACGATGGTTCCTCGGCGGCATACACTGCAAGAGTGTCTCAGACTCTTGGGTGCTGGGATCACAGGTACGCATCACCACTCCCAGGCAATTTTTGAGTTATTCTTTTTCAGTTTTAACTCACTATATTTCTATTTCATTTTATGGTAGTATATGTATAAATATAAATATATATATATATGTATTTTTTTTTTGGTACTGGGGATCGAACTCAGGACCTTCTGTTCGAGGTGGCAGAACCACTGAGCTAAATCCCCGCCCTGATAGTATATATCTTTATGTCATCAACACATACATATAACTGGAGAACTGATAACATTTGCTCAATTTTTTTTTTCTTTTTTTTCTGAGACAGGGTCTTGCTATGCAGTTTAGTCTGGTCTTGAACTCGAGGTGATCCTCCTGCCTCCCAAGTGCTGGGATTATAGGTGTGCACCACCACACCTGGCTTCTTCCCTCTTTGCTTATATTTCAGTAATTTTGATCTGGTGTGTCCACATCAGTTTAAATTCTCTCTACTTACCTGGGTAGGACATGATGGTCGACAAGAATGAGGGTAAGCAGGCCAGCCTGGTGCAGCACGTGGAGGTCAATCTCATCTCGGAAAATCAACAGGGTCTCTGGTATATGAACCTTCTGAAGGAAGAAGACGTTGTCACCTCGCAGAGGTAGCTCAGAACGTTTTATATTTAAAACTGGTATAAAGACTTCTTCAGCTTCAGTTGTCTGGACGAGAGAGTGAAAAGGGGTATCTCAAAGTTTTGGAAGGCAGGAAACAGTCACAAGGCTGGGCTGGAAGTGTAGCTCAGCAGTGGTAGAGCACACACTCAGAATCCATGAGGCCCAGGGTTCCATGCTGACACCAAAAAAAATAAAAGTAACAAGGGTATTGGGACCAATGGAGACGTGATCTTGGCTAAGTTACCACGTTCCTCAAAGCCACAACTACCTAGGCTATAAAAATAAATAGATGACTGGGCCAGGGATTTAGCTCAGTGGTTTCACCGCCTGCTGTGCAAGCGCAAGGACCCGAGTTCGATCCCCAGTACCAATAAATAAATAAATAAATAAATAAATAGATGAGGGCCGGGGAATTAGCTCAGTAGTTCTGCCGCCTGCCTCAAAACCACAAGGACCCGAGTTCGATCTCCAGTACCAAAAAAAAAAAAAATCCTAACTAAAAATAAATAGATGATGATCCTTCAGTTACATGGAGGAACTTTGGCACATTACTTGTCTGATATTAGAGAGAAAGACAGAGGGAGAAATAAATGGAGGATAATTTTTTGGAGGGGTTCTGGGCTTTGGACCCAAGAATCTGCACATGCTAAGCACATGCTCTACCTCTGAGCTGCACCCCCAGGCCCAAAAGGATGACTCTTGCCCTCCCCTCCCTGGCAGTGACAGGAAGGTCAACAAGGTAACCACGAGGAAGTCCTGCTTTTCCATGCAATGCTGCACAGATTATAATGGTCCTTAACAGTCAACCTGGATGAGCTCACTAACACCAGAAGGAACCCACAAATATACTGTTTGCAGATTGCTTCATGGTTTATGAGTCCCTCACAACAGATTTCCTCATGTGTTCCTCACAGCAACACTGAAACGTTATTTCGGATGTGACCCAAGACTCAGCAAAAAAAAAAAAAAAAAGACTCAGCAAAGGTAAGGGATTTAACTTACCCTCGGCTAAGTGCTGGTAAATGGCACACCAGGATCTTGAATCCAAATCTTTTCATTCTAGGTACTCACCTTTGTCAGGTAAAAAGCCAAGGCGAGAGCAGATACCATGGAGTCCAAGTCACAGGCTTCATTTCCTAGCACCACATGCAGAGGCCGGGACTCCTGGAGAGGACACAGCGGAAGTGACAGGAGCCTCTCTGTCCATTTCCGTCTATCTTCCACCCTCAGGGGCTTCTCGCATCCTCTCCCCAGCCTCTGGAGCAGCTGGGTCAGCGGCCTGCTGGCCCTCACTGCACAGGTGGGCTCTGAGCCGGAAGGGCCCAAGGGCGTAGCTAAGCCTCAAGGGTTCCACACACACCCAGTTGGTGGAAAGTGCTCTTTTCTTGCTACTCAATTGTCTCCTTAAATGTTACCTTTCAGAAGAACAGGGGTAGAGAATTCTCTGATTTCTTACGCCTCTTGGGCACTCAAATTAGTCAAAAGTAGAACATTTCCGCAGTGGATATAACTAGATCTCTGCTTGCCCCCACTTTCAAAATAGGGAAAATAATTCTTACACTTCTAAATCATGAAAATAGGTGAGGAGGTTCTGGAAATAAAAGTAAAAGTAAGTTCCAGTCCCTTATCCACTTGTCCAGGGAATTCTGCAACCCCTGAGAAGCCCCAGCGAGAGCTACACATAGCCAACAGCTCTCACTGTCCAAGAGGCAGACTCATTAAACAAGTTGCCACCCCTGGAAATTTTATTCTTAAAGCTTTGAAAAGTCCAGCTGCTGATAAGAATGCTGAGGGAGCGATAGATCCTATTATTTTTTTTATATATATTTTTTGGTTCTGGGGATCGAACTCGGGTCCTTGCACTTGCGCAGCAGGTGGCGAAACCACTGAGCTAAATCCCCGGCCCTAGATCCTATTATTAATCCTGGTCTCTTGCATCTCCCTAGCTGTCAAGAGTTTTAAATAAATAAATAAATAAAACATGTATCAAGTGTGCCAGGCATTGCTCTAGTATTTTTGCATCCACTAACCAATCTTTATGAAAAAAAATCCCAACTAATTATTTGCCAGGTGTGATAGCACATGCCTGTAATCCTAGTCCTTGGGAGGCTGAGGCAGGAGGATCACCAGCACTTCGAGGCCAGCCTGGGCTACATAGTGAGTTCAAAGGCCAGCTTGAACTACATAGCCAGACTGTGTCTCAAAAAAAGAAAAAAGTGCCACCAGTAGCAATATGAGTGGAACGGAAGCATATTATGTTTTATGAAATCAGACAGGAACAGAAAGCCAAACACCATGTGTTCTCTATGGAAGCTAAAAAGTTGATCTCAAAAAAGTAGAGACTAGAAGAGTGATTACCAGGTCCTAGGCAGAGAGCGGGGGAGAAAGCAAAGCTAGAGGACAGTTAACACACGGGGTGCAGTTATATAGGAGGAGTGGCATAACTACTGCTGACAAAAATGAAAATATTTCAAAATAGCCTGTAGAGAGGATTTTCAATGTTTTCAACACAGAGAGATAACAGGCTGGGAGTTCGGCTCAGTGGTAGAGTGTGCACTTTCCTAGCACCAAAGGAAAAAAAAGGGGATAAATATCTGAGTGGCAAATATACCAATTACCAATGCAGTCATTATGCGCTGTCTACATGTATTGGAATGTTCACTGCACCCCATGGCTGTACACAATTCTTTTGTCACAACTGGGGGGAAAAAAATATATATATAGATATATATAGATATATCTATATATATATATATATGCAAAGAGAGGGAACAGCAAGTCTTTTTTTCTTTTGGTACTGGGGATCGAACTCTGGACCTTGCGCTTGTGAGGCAGGCAGTGGAACCACTGAGGTAAATCCCTGGCCCTTTTTTCTTTTGAGGCAATGCCTCTCTGTATAGTCCAGGCTGGCCTTGAACTCACAATGGAGCCCAGGCTGGCCTTCAACTCACAGTGATCCTCCTGTCTCAGCTTCCTGAGTGCTGGGATTACGGGTGTGTGCCATCACGTCTGGCCAGCAAATCTTTCTCCACATTAAACTCTTTTCTAAAACAAAGAGAGCATTGTGTCTCCAGGACTGTCCCTGTCCTGTGGGCACCCCTGACTGCAATTCCCGTCCTGCTATAGGATAAGGCCTCTGTTTCCTGGAGATCAAGGCTGCCCAGATAGCTGTGGTGTAGAGTGAGAGCTGAACACTCCAGCTAAGTGGCTCCAGAGAGCACTTGTCCACTGAAGCACTGAGGGGCCTGTGTGCTCAGGAAAGGGAACCACACAAACATGAGAGGTCACATGGGCCTGACTGGAGGAAAAGAGGTCAGCGGGACAGAAAAAGGCCGAATGGGGTCCAGGAAGCCGGCGGAGAACTCTTCCTCCAACTCAGCTACAGCAGCGCTTCGCCTGAATCAAGACTGGTTGGATCGCAGCACGGAAGGATCACAAAGCAAAGCAGAAGGCAGGGACCAAATACAACCTCACCGCTGAGTGAGGAGAAAGAGCTCCAGAGCCAGGGAAATAACCAACCTCTTGTGCTCGGCTGTGCTCCTGCAGGAACCAAAGGAAAGAACAGAAAGAAGTACAAGACTCTGGGACTTCAGCACACTCGGACCTGGGGCTAGGAAGGGTAGCACATCCGGCCCCTCCCACCATCAGCACCCACCATTACCGTCTGGGTTGTTTGCACCCCAAATCATGATTGAGGACATTCCCACCCTCTGCACTATGTGTTGTTCTTTTGGAAAGCAGCAGAACTGCCACTTGAAAAGATCACAGAATGGGACTGAATCCAGCTCTGCCTCTTATTTGCTGTGGGACTTTGGCTTCTCAAAGCCTCATTTTCTTTTTTTTTTTCTTTTTGGTACTGGGGATCGAACCCAGGTCCTCAGCTTTCGAGGCAGGCAGTGGAACCACTGAGCTAAATCCCCGGCCCATCAGAGCCTCATTTTCTGATATAAAAAATGAGACAAATACTATAACCAAGGTCATGAAGTTTCTTTTGAGCCGGTCTCCCTATGCAGTTCAGGCCTGCCTCGAGCTCACAGTGATCCTCTTGTCTCAGCCTCCTGAGTGCTCAAACTAAGGCATGCGCCATCACACCCGACAATCAAGGTGTTATGTGGATCAAATGAGACACCAGCTCAGTGGCTGCTCTGTAAACAGTGAAGAAGCCACCTCCCGTCTCCTTTCCCTTCCCCCCGTACCCCCAGCCCTTCTCCCAGGGAAGCCTTCCTCACTACCCAGGCCAAGCAGTCTTCCACTACCCCAGGCCCAGCACTTGTGGCTGTGGGATGGAATTTAACCTCTAGCCTACAGGGCGTCACTATCTGGTCACAGCTGTGCAGCCCAAATCCTTAACATCGATCCAGTCGGGTGGCTCTATCCTTTGTGGTTCAAACCAGAAGACTTTTGGGAAAGGACAGAGGTGCCCTTAAAGATCGTGCTGGGGTAACGGACTGCTCGGCACACTGCGTGTGTGGGTGGCCATCGCTCATTTGGGAAGAGGGTCACACTCAGGCTCTCAAGCTCCGCAACCTGTTTTCTACCCTCAGGGGAAGGGCGCAGGGCAAATACAGCTGTACTTAGCAGCACGAGGAAACCTGAGCTGCCAAGGGAAGAGACAGTCTGAGAGCCACAAGTAAATATTAAGTTTTTCTATCATCCTGCTCTTTTCTTTGTGGCCTCAGTGTGCGGCAGGAAAGGAATTTGAGGTTGGGAAAGTAACTCATTTCGCTTCTGAAGCTGAGTATGGTCTGATAACTACTTAGCAAAACACTTACTGGGGAGGACAAACAGCCAAAGACAAACTCCTCTGCCAGGGCTGCGTTTTTTTTTAGGTACAGGGATTGAATGCATGTTTACTAGGCAAGTGCTTTACCACTGAGCTACACCCTTTTTATGGATCACTGCCATGTGGCACCACATCCAGTTAGGACTACACTTTTTTTTCTGAGACAGGGTCTCGTCACATAGTTGAGGCTGGCCTTGAACCCAGCACACCAGGTGGGGCAGGACTACAAATTTCTGTGGACAGCCAGCCACTCAGGACTTCTACCTCCTGCCTGAGAAGTGTACACAATTGAGCATTCAAAGATTGCTGGGGGCGGTGTGGTGCCACACGCAAGCTTGTGATCCCAGCGCTCAGGGGGCTGAGGCTGGACTGCCAACTAGCCTGGGCTCCACAGAGTTCAAGGCCAGCCTGAACTATACAGGGAGACCCAGTCTCAAAAAGGAAAACAAAAACAAAGACTGCTGGGGACTTTGTCCCTGTATGAATACCTGAACTTGAATGTAGCCCCACCCTGAAGATTGCGCTCTTCTAGAAGTCAAAGATGAGTCAATCTTAATAGGATACTTAAGTAGACAGGAGCCAGAACCACTGAGCTAAATCCCTGGCCCAAGACAGGGCTCCTTCTAAATGGAGCATCTTACTGTCACTGTGGTGGAGGCTATAGAGTTTCTCTGAAAGCACAGAATGAAAATGTGGTACCAACAGGAGACTTGGTGAGATTATTAGCTGTCTCTGTCCTGTACAGAAGCCAAGCATTCACAATTCCCTAAGAAATGTACAGATAAACTATCATTTAATAGAAACACGTGAACTTCATGGTGTCTTTGAAGCATGTCTCTCTTTACACAAACATAACAGGGTGGCCACTGGGGAATGAAGAAAAAGGCTTTTTGATCTTTCTGATTTAATATCTTTTAAAACTTTTAGGGGTGGGGGTACTGGGGATTGAACTCAGGGTCTCTGCACTAAGCTACATCCCCAGTCTTTTTTTATGTTTTTGAAACCAGGTCTCACTAAGTTGTCCTGGTTATGCTCCAATTTGAAATCCTCCTGCTCAGCCTCCCAGACAGCTGGGATTTGAAATGTACGCTATCATGCCTGGTTTATGTGTATTCTTTCCTGTAATTAAAAGCAATTTAGAGCTGGGCATAGTGGTGCATGCCTGTAATCCCAGCACTCAGGAGGCTGAGGCAGGAGGATTGCTGTGAGTTGGGAAGCCAACCTGGGCTACACAGTGAGTTCAAGACCAGCCTGAACTGCATAATGAGACCCTGTCTCAAAAAAACAAAACAAAACAAAACAATCTAAACCATTGGCGTCTGTCCACCACTATGTGCTGATACCTGTTCACTTGATATTCTTTATAGTCTAATTTGCTCCTTTCACCAAACCCTGATGAGACCATGTGATGATGAGTGTTTTAAGGGACAATGTCACCTTTATAAGTGTGCAGGTTTGGAAGAGGATCTAGATCTTGCTCTTTGGGGGATGAAACCAAAGAGAAAAGCCAGGATACCAGCAAAACACTAGAAAAATGAAGTCTTTTCCAGCTTCATAATGTTGCAGAGATGTTACGAGGTGGGTGAGGCACAGTGGAGAGCAGCAGATGCTGGAGTTGATCAGCCAAAGAGAGGGGTTTTGGGTTTTGGTGAGGTTTCAGGTCTACCCTTCACAGAGACTGCTCATTTGGATTATGGGGGTGGGAGTGAAAAATCCAACTCTAGTGCTGAGAATGATACCACAAAAATTCTACTTTAGTCCTCCAATGAGGTCCCTGTGATGCAATCAAAGGTAAGCCAGAATTGGTTGCAAGTTGTCTTATGCATTAAAGCAACTTTCCCCAAATCTGTTTTTCACAAGAAAAAATTTGGTGTAATTGGTGTCAAAATTAAACTTCATCTCAACTCAGTATGAGAACATTCATTTATCCCATTAGCTGAGTATGGTTCAGAAATTAGGTGATTTTTTTAGGATTCGTGGAAAATCAGAATCTATTGTGTAGGGTAACCTGTAAGCACTTAAGATATTTTACATATGTATTTATTTATTTGCAGTGCTGGGGATTAAGCCCAGAGCCTTTGTACTGAGCTACGCCTCCTGCCCTTTTATTATCATTATTATTTCACTTTTTTTTTTTTTTGAGACAGGGTCTTGCTATGCAGTTCAGGCTGACCTTGAACTATGTAGCGGAGGCTGGCCTCGAACTTGCAGTGATTCTCCAGCCTCACTCAGACTTGCTAGTGCTGGGACTACAGGCACGCGCCACCTCAGCGGCCTGTCATTTTTATTTTATTTGGGAACAGGGTCTCATTAACTCACTAAATTGCCTCGGCTGGGCCTGAACTTGCAATCCTCCTGCCTCAGCCTCCCAGAGTGCTGGGATTACAGGCACGTTTAAGTTACCTTAAAAGGAAGACAATCTAGTCTAGGGGCAGTGTTACATCAGGGGACAAGCGACCTCCCAGAGCCTTCTCTGACTGGCTTTTCCCTGCTAACTGCAGATAACAGACCAATGCTAAATGATCAGTCAGCATGGCCGGGTGAGGCCAACTGCCTCAGAAAGCACCCAAAATAAGCTCCAAAGCATTCAATCATGCTTCTGGCTTTGATTCCAAACATACTTTGTGCTTATCCCTTCCAAACAGGGGAGGATTTTTCTGTTATGTGTGAGAGAAACCGGGGGCAAAGGAATGCAGGTTGTGGGCCAACAGACACGGCTGATGTATTCTGCATGTTTGGCTTAAAAACAGCTTTAAAGTAAAACACCGTGACTACCTCTTCTATGTAAGAGTTCGGCCGCCAGAGAGACACCGCGGTCAGGGTAGAAGTGCGCCCGGCGGCCAGGGGCTCCGGGCTGGGAGAAGGAAGGAGCGCGCTCGTGGGCTCGGCGGGTACCGGCGACAGCGCGCAGAGACCCAGACCCATCAGGACCCAGAGCCGGGCCTCCTCCTCCCCGCTCTGGGGCGGATCTCGAAGGCGGGGAACCTAACGCAGGGAGAATGAGCAGTATTTCCTCGCTCGTAAGCCCCAAGCCTGATCAGACCCCACGTGCCCTCCCCACAACTCGGTGATCCCTTCCACACGGACCGTCCGGCTTTCCCAGATCCCATCTTCGTCCTTCCCGGACCCCATCCATGCTCCATTCCTTACAGTCACAGACAGGGATCCGTTACCTGCAGAGCAGCTCGACAACCCTGCAGGTAGTCCTCCATGGTGAAGTCCTAGGGATGCCGTCGGCCCTCGCTGAGGAGAGGCTCTAGGGCGAATGCGCCCCGCCCAGAGCTCAGGGTCTAGAAGCAGGAGTCAGGAGGCGGGACTCGAACCTGCCACAAGGCGATTCGGCCGCCCACCCTGGGAGGAAGTGCGTCATCCCGACGTTACCCCCAACAGTGGAGGAGGCGGAGTTCTGCGCCCAGACTCCTGGGACGTCGTTCCGGAGGTGACAGGAGCGCAGGGCGTGCTGGGAAGTGTAGTCCAGGAGCTCTAAAATCATTGCAACAATTGGAGAATTTCCTTAGGGATTTGACACACAAATGTATATGTGTCACATAATTAACCCATTTTTGTGGCTTCTGATTTTCCTCTCAGACTGCACTAAGTATAGCATCTTAACATATACGACACCAAAAATTCAGTTGTCACTTTACATTTACAACGTGACAAAACAGTTCTCCCTCTTCGTTTTTAGAATTCTCTGTTCACCTAACTGATCTATTGCTACCACTTTTGTAGTTGTACATACAAGAAAAACATTGAAATCATCTTTGAGCTCTCTTCTTAATACCTAGTCTTGCCAACCCTTGCTGTTTCTTCCTCTAATTCTGTAGCTTTTTAAAAAAAATTTTTTTTTAACAGCTTCAGCAGATACCTTCTCATTGCTTTCTTGGACTGCTGTAACCTTGGCATTTTGTGCTCTCCTCTCCTAATTGTTCCAACTGCTCTTTCAGTCTTCAGACTTGCTTAACGCCTCATCCTGCGGCAGCCGGGTAGGTAGAGTTTGGAGGACCCTTCAGAATGGAGGTTCCAACTTCCCTTAACTGCCACTCTCCGCCCTCGCATCTTCGTCCTTCCCCTGCAAACAGGTCCCCTCCTCATCAAGTGTCCCCTCATTTATTAGCCTATCCCTCTGCTTCCTCCTGCCCCGAGCTGAAAGCTGAGAGTCAGTGACCGATGAGGTAAGATCTGTGAGCACAGGAGCCTCCCTTCTCCTGCTGTACGGCTTCTCTCCCTGCTGTGCTTTTTTCCCAGAACCAGGGGCTTCTCCCACCTCTTCTGGGAGCTACCAGATGCACAGCCCATCTCTCGTTTCATTTCTAGACTAAGAAAAATGATACAGGAAGGGCTTGGGAAGGAGCCCTGTATGGGCTCCTGAGGAACAGGAGTAGGACCTTTTAAAATATTAAATGAGTAAAAATACAAATATCATGCTCTTTGGTCCTGCTTCTGTGGATCTAGAGCACAGGTCTGTCTGGCACACACGGGGAGAAAGCCCAGATCCAACAAGCTGCTGCTGTCCAGCCTGCTCCTCCCCGCTTGAAGGGCACTTGCTCTTCCCTGTTCTCACCAGAGAGGCACAAGTGCTCCGTCCCTTCCAGCGGCAGTGGAGGGAAAAGAATGGGTCTGTTGTTTTTCTCTCCTTGTTTCTCTCTCCCTCTGTGCTGATCACCAAGCTGCTGACCAAGTAAGAAAGCCTTGATGGAAATCCTCCAGTGCGGGCCAGGCCCCTCCTCCCCCAGGGAACTTGTCCTTGACTAATTTTTCTTTGTCCGGAAGAGAGAGAAAGAGAGAGGAGAAAGAGAGAGAAAGAGAGAGAGAGGAGAGAGAGAGAAGAGAGAGAAAGGGAGGAGAGAGAGGGGAGAGAGAGAGGAGAGAGAGAGGACAGAGAGAGAGAGAGAGAGAGAGGACAGAGAGAGAGGCAAAACCACAAACTTCCTTTGAAAAGCAGTTTGTTTTCAGGGCCCGGAGCACGTGCCGGAGACTCAGAGACTCAGCTGCTCAGGAATCCTGAAGATGCTTGGAGAGGGAGCCCGGGAGCACCTGGACTGTGCCCCTGCCTGCCCTCACCCTGCTGCACTGCCCCCAGCCCTGGGGGTGAGTCCGGAAGTGGCCACAGCCCAGCCAGCCCGGCCTTCTGCTCTGAGCCTGTGACAACCTGTGTAAGCTCGGCAGTGACAGCTGGGGAGCAGGGAGCTCTGACACCTCTCGTTGTCGGCCCTCGCCCCCATAAACTGCCAGAGCTGAACCTTCCTTCTCAGTCCTGGACCTGCACCCACTTCTTTAAGGTAAAAACTTTGTTTTACCCATGTTTTCCACCTCTTCCCACACCAGCGGCTCTCCTTTTCCTCTCTGGCTCCGGCTGCGGCTCCGGCTCCAGGGAGTGGGCAGCTGGCTCTCCTCCCATCCGTGGGCTCTGGAAGTCTGGTTGGCTTGAAGGAGAATGGAAAGGACATGCTGTTGGTTCCCTCATTTCCTCCTAACCAAGTCCTTCCCCTCTTCCCTGGGAGCAAGTAGACAGCACGCTGTTTGACCTACTCTGTGGGGAAAATTGAAACCATTGGTTGCTTGAAGATCTGGGTCAGACTGGGGAGATGGGCATGGACAGTAAGGGACTTGAGGGGACAGAAGGGTCTCAGGGACGGGCTCCTTCTGGAAGCCACACACACACACCTATTTGATATCCTATTTGCATCTACTCTGGGGTGATTTCCTCCCCGGGGCATAGGGCCGGGGCTCTTTGAACTTCTCATCTGCCACCATAAGAGATTCTGAGCTGGGGGGAAAGTACAGGACTTGAGCTGAGGAAAGAGAAGGAAAAGGATGAAATTCGGCGCTTTTTTTTTTTTTTTTTTTTGGTACCGGGGATTGAATTCGGGACTTTGTACTTACAAGGCAGGCACCGGAACCACTGAGCTAAATCCCCAGCCCTGAAATTCTGATTTCCCTGAGGTCTCCCCCCTCCCCCGCCCCTGCCCGAGTCCTCCCCCAGTCTGAAGCACTCCAGGCCTTCCCACATCTGTACTTTACAGGTGGGAACTCTCGTTACCCTCTGCCTGGTCTCCAAGGCCACAACCTCTGCCTGGCTTCTGGGGACCCCTCTCCCTGGCCCTCTCTCTCTGGGATCCCTCCAGACTGGTGTCTTTCTGTCACTTCCTCTGGCCCACTGACTTCCCAGCCCCCATTCAACTATTGATCATTTTTAGCACTAGGCAGAAAAGAAGCCCTGTATTTCTTTAAGCTTTTTAAACTTTCTCTGGTATCTGCTTCAAGGCTCTCCCCAAGTGACATGTGAAAGGGGAGGAAGAAAGGAGCAACAGAGAGAAGACAAAATGTGTAAAGCATTCAGGCAATTTTTGCTGTTCCGATTCTAAATTAATGTGTAAATGAAATGCAGCTAGCAGAGAAAAGAAAATCTTTGGAGACAGGATCTTGCTACGTAGTTCAGGCTAGCTTTGAACTCACTATGTAGCCCAGACTGGTCTCAAACTCCTGGTCATCCTCCTGCCTCAGCTTCCTGAGTGCTGGGATTATAGGATTACAGGTGTGTCTCACCTTGCCTGACTGACCCATATTACTGCAGGTTGTAAGACAGCATTATCTCAGGTGAAGAGAAGGCTAGAGAAAAGACAGGATTTCTTTCGTTGAGAAAAGAAAGTTTGCTGCTCAAACTGACCTTGAACTCACCATCTTCCTGCCTACCAAGTGCTGAGATTACAGGCCATGTATACCACACCTGGCTGAGGGAATATTTTTTTAAGCAAACCAGTAATCATTATTTTTATATTCCACATAAATAACTGACAAGAGAGCATTTCTGGCTGGGTGTGGTGGCATGTACCTGTGATCCCAACACTTGAAAGGCTGAGGCAGGAGGATTGGAGAGAGTTTGAGGCCAGCCTAGGCTACATAGCAAAATCTTATCTCAAAAAAATAGTTGGGAGGGGCCAGGAATGTAGCTCAGTGGCGCCACACCTGCCTGGCAAGCATAATGTCCTGAGTTCCATCCTCAGGCTGCAAAAAAAAAGAGAAAAAGCTGGGTTGCAGGTGCATGCCTGTAATCTCAGCATTTGGGAGGCTGAGGCAGGAGGATCTCGGCAAGTTCCGGGCCAGCCTGGGCTACATATTGAGACCACGTCTCAAAAAAAAAGAGGAAGAAGTTGAGGGTGGTTCTTTTTATTCCTCCAACCTGGAGTTACTTATCAGAACCACTCTCCAGTCCAAGTCTTTGGAACCTACATTTCTCCAGCCTGCAGGAAGCCCCTCCCAGGACCTTCCTGCTGTGGTCTGGGGTTGTGTAAGGCTCAGTGGAGCCCTTTGGGGAGGGAGACTTCCCCTTCCTCACCGGTGTCACAGCAGGAGCACAGGTCTGCCCTGCACCCCCAGCACTTTGTGACTGGGACCCTTCTCAGCTGTGGGGTGGGTGAGGAGGGGTCCCCCTCAGGGCCTCGTGTGTGCTCTGCAGTTCTGTGCAGGGAGAGGCATGACCCACCCGGGCAGCCATGGTGCAGGTTAGGCAAGTGCTCTCCCATTGAACATCCCACCCCACTTTGTGACGGGACTCCTCACTAAGTTACCAGGATGGCCTTGAGCTTTTGATCTTCCTGACAGCCTCTCAAATAGCTGAGGCCTGTGCCACCATGAGTAGCTTAACTTTTCTTTCTTGATTTCTTTCTTTCTTTTCTTTTTTTTTTTTAACAGGGTCTCACTATGTAGGAAAGGCTGGCTTCAAACTGAAAGTGATCCTCCTGCCTCAGCCTCCCGAGTGCTGGGAGTGCTGGGATAACAGGTGTGTGTCACCACACCCAGCTCCTTCTCCATTTCTATTCATGTTTCTCTTTTCCACTTTTGTTTCAGGGAAGCTGACTCCACCTGCATTCGATCCCCCAGTCCTCCCTCAAGCCTGGAAGCTCAGCCCACCCTGATCTGATCCGGCCACAGCTACTTAGTGGTGAGAGCTCAGCCTGAGCTCGGTGTTCAAGAGGGGAGAGCAGAGCTGCTCCGAGCTGGGTGTGGCTGTGTAGACCAGGGTGCCTTCCCTACCACACTGACTTACTTTCCTAGCCTTTTTTGGCTCTCTGCTTTGCAACCCAATGGTCTTGATGCACGGCGTTCTCTTTTGTGCACCCGGACTGGTCTAGGCGAAGCCCTAGGGCCGGAAACGCCGTCAGGGCTCCTTACTTGACTCCTTCCCACCATGGAACATGCTGGGCCTGAGCAGCCGGGCCCTGATCAGGTCGGAAGGGCAGAAGCCGTCACCTGGGAAAACCACGAGGTCCCCTTGGGATCCCAGGAGCAGCCTCAGAACGGGAACGCCAGAGACGCGGATGGAGAGAGAGAGCCGGGAGATCCAACTCCGCTCCCTGCCCGGGGCGGGGAGAACCTCGAGCGCCCCGTACCTGAAGCCCAAGCGTGCCCACCTGGGCCGGCCTGCGGGAAGCCACCCGAGGTGGAGATGATCGGGGCCTGCTCCGGGCCCCAGGAGCTCCCCCAGTCCCCGCGGGCCCGGAAGCCCGAGCCGGACTTCTACTGTGTGAAGTGGATCCCCTGGAAGGGGGCGCGCACGCCAGTCATCACGCAGAGCGCCAATGGCCCGTGCCCTCTGCTGGCCATCATGAACATCCTCTTCCTGCAGTGGAAGGTACCGCGCGCTGGGAGTCCTTTCTGAGCCACCGCCTCCATCCCTTCTCAGACCAGTCTAAACTTTACAGATGGTTCTCCGTCCCACTCCTCTAGCAACAGGGAACGCCTTTCGGTACCTGCTTCCGCGGGCTCCTCCACGGTGCCCTGGGAGGAAGGCAACGCCCACTCCCCTTTCCACTTCCAGGTGAAGCTGCCCCCCCAGAAGGAAGTGATCACTGCTGAGGAGCTCATGGCCCACCTAGGTGAGACAGCGCCCTGAGAGGAGATTCCCCCGGGGCTCCCCAACTCTGGAGGGCTCCCCATGTGCGGCTCCTCTGCAAGGCTGGAGAATGAAAAGCGAAGGTCAAGGTAGAAAAAAAAAGGTTAAGGGGTCAGAAGTCCTGGTTTTTGTTGTTTATGTTTGTTTTTTCAGGACTGGGGGCCAAACCTCAGGGCCTTGAGCATTCTAGGCAAGCACTCTACCAGTGAGCTACATCCTTGTCCTCTGCCCCTAGCCTCTATATGTGACCTTGGGTCACCTTTGTAAGCCCGCTTTTAGGGGGTCTGCGTTAGACCCGCCCTAAACATTTCCAGCCCTGAAAATCTCTGCTCCCGGGACTTTACTGTCACTCTTCAGGAGAAGAGGAGGCCGAGCTTTGGGCAGTTGGTGAGGGGGGGCTGACCAGGGCTCCTGTCCTGCAGGAGACTGTCTGCTGTCCATCAAGCCCCAGGAGAAGTCAGAGGGACTTCAGCTCAATTTCCAGCAGGTGAGGCCAATGGTCCTCGAACACAGGAGTTCGCAGGTTTGTAAGGGGATACTTGCTGGACCATGGAGAGAAGCCTTTTGCTGCTTCTGAATAGGGTTCCTTGAACCATAACTTTTGCAGGAAGAGCAGAAGGTGAAGTATTTCTGTCCTGATATCTGGGCATGGTAGTGGATCCTATAACCCTAGTACTCTGGGAGGCTGAAACAGGAGGATTGCAAATTCAAACTCAGCCTAGCCAAGTTAGTGAGACCCCCCCGTTAAAAAAAAAAAAAAAAGGGCCAGGGATTTAGCTCAGTGGTTTCAAAGCCTGCTATGCAAGCGCAAGGACCTGAGTTCGATCCCTGGTACCAAAAAAAGAGCTGGGTGTGGCAATGCATGCTTATAATCCTAGCACTTGGGAGGTTGAGTTTGAATCGAGCCTGGGGCACACAGTGAGTTCAGACCAGCCTGAACTATATAGTGAGACCCTGTTTCAAAAAATGAGTACATAAATGGATTTTTTTTTTTTTTTTTTGTATTGGGGATCGAACTCTGGTCCTGGTGCTTTCGAAGCAGTCGGCAGAACCACTGAGCTAAATCCCTGGCCCTACATAAATAAATTTTTAAATAAAAATAAAAAATTTAAAAAAGGTCTGGGTGCCGGGCATGGTGGCACAGGCCTGTAGTCCCAGCACTTGGGAAGCAGAGGCAGGAAGATCACTGTGAGTTTGAAGCCAGCCTGGGCTACATAGTGAGACCCTATCTCAAAAAAAAAAAAAAAAGGTCTGGGGATATAAAGGAGGAATGGAATGGCTTTTAAGAGAGCCAAGGAAGAAAAGTAACATGATTATTGTTACTGTTTTAAATTCTGGGGATGGGAATGGAGCGCAGAGGGAGGAGGCTGGACCAGCGTCATTTTCTGTGCTGCCTCCAGAATGTGGACGATGCCATGATGGTACTGCCCAAGCTGGCCACGGGGCTGGATGTGAACGTGCGCTTCACGGGCGTCTCTGACTTCGAGTACACGCCCGAGTGCAGCATCTTCGACCTCCTGGGGATCCCTCTGTACCACGGCTGGCTTGTGGATCCACAGGTGAGCCCGCCCGCCCCCC